GTATTCTTTAGTATCAATGCATATAGACAATTATGGTCATCAATTTGATTGGGATAATGATGAGATTTTAGACAGAGGAAACACCAAAAGTGCAGTGAGGGAATTCCTAGAAGCCTGGTTGGTATTCAAACGAAAATGCAATTAACAAACACGTTAATATAGACGAAATATACCAACTAATAAAAAGTAAATCAGTTGATCAGAAAGTTTAAAATCCAAGTCAATAGAAAATGGTCAATACATATGTAAATATGGTTACCGGGAGATGTACGCAATTCTATCACCACTCATGAAGAAATTTAAATCATTTCAGTTTATGCTAAATATTGCGCTGAAGATGTTGTCCACAAGGACGACGAAAGCTCCTCAACTAAACCAACTAGCTCAGAGAACACTATTAATTGCTACCATCTTGTTTTTGCGCCGGTCGAATTATGTACACCGGAACTCGAACTTGAAGTCCATTGACTATAATTCGGTTATTTAAGCCAATAAGCCGCCCTATCTCCATGCCACTGTAATCAAATACTGCTTCTAGTGCTCATGGATTTGACTGGTTTTCCCGCAGTAGTACTAAAAATACGAAGTTAACTGAAATTAATAAAAACTGATACGTCGTCTTCAGCAAAAAGTGGCCCTCATCGCCCAGTTGGCCCTAGTTGACAGTGCTTTAGCACTGAAAACAACGGATGTACTGGCTGGGTTTGAGTCTCAGTCGGAACGCCAGTACTCACTGAAGAGTGGGGTGGTTGGCTGCAGGCTGTACATTTAATCTGACCAGTATCATTGATATTAGAAAAAAAAGCTTGTGCACTGTGGGGTAGAGTTTAATTCCATTATGGGTAAATTTTGTTTTGATAAAGTCTCACAGTGTGTTATACAGTAATGTTTACTGATGACCACGTTTCGAGCACAATTTATTGTTGCTCATAATCAATCATATCAAGGTTATCAATCACACGACTTCCTAAATTCATTTATATAGTTCCGTTGTGTTTTCACTTGATTTGATTGGTAGTAGTATCTTCCATATTTCGGGTATGAGTGATGATTCATTCCTATTGCATGTGTTGTGTTGGGTGTAGATTCACTCGATGAACCAGGCAGGATTCAGTAATCAATCTCTCTCTCCACCTACCTAGATTACTTTTTAGACTTTTAACCCTCTCTCACCCTATTGTGTGGTAGTGTGCTAATGCATGTATTGCAATTGCTGAGCTTTCTTCTAAATTACTTACCTTTGTGAGATCGATCATTTTAACCTTTAAGAGGGGACATCTGAGACCCTATGTAGGATTCTAAATAAAGCAGGAATTAGGCTGGTGGCATTTAAACCTACAACCTCACTCAGGGAGGACAAGCTCTGTGGGTGAAAGGACCCAGTGGACTCAATTAGACAAAATAATATAAAAATCAGAAAGATTGAGCGAAGAAATATTTACTTTTCAATTAGATCCTCTTCTATGGCTCTACTCTAATATATATAGCATTTTTTACAATACACAACAATTTACCAAACACGTGGCGATATGTTTGTTAACAATAATTAACCAGTGTCAAAATGTCAATGGGTAGATAATTAAGGAAGAAAATTAATACACAATTAAAAGGTAGAAATGGATAGAATAAATTAATTTTACAAGAATAACACGTAATTAAAGATGAAGTGGTCAAAATAAAAATAAAATAATTTGGACAATTATAATTTAATAGGGGGAGGGGGGCGACGTAGTCCTGTCTTGTAACGATGGCCACGGTAAGCAAAGTGGCTGTACAAATTTCTTCTGTACACATAGGCTTGGTTTCTTCTGGTGGATTCCAATTGCTTCAGCTGTCTGTAAAAGACGAAATCTTAGAGCAAAGTTAAGATTAGTTGGAATACGATAAATAATTTTAAATGCAGTATTCACATCGACCTTGTGCTCAGTATCAACAAGGTGTGCTAAAATAGAACTACGAATAGATTTTATTTGTCCCTTGCTTAACCACGCTGGATGATGTTCAGAAATACGACGATGAAACTGCCTAATTGTACGCTCAATGTAGCTGGCTCCGCAGCTGCAGTCAAATTGGTAGACACACATAGAAGAGGCAAATTTAGGTAGTTTATCCTTATTTCTCGAACATAGAATAGGGGTGGTTTTGAAGAGACAACGTACTTCTGCTGCATAATAAGCTCTTTTAACCGCATTCTTTAAGCGCTGTGTTATGATTTCACTGATGTTGTCACCGAGGAACTGCAATTTTATGAACATTGGCTTTTTTGAAACTGTAGCGATACTGACCCTCTTTGGTGCTGAATTCATATTCTTCTCAATAAATTTATCTGGATAACCATTTTTTCTAAGTAATTCTTTAATAATCTTAAGCTCCTCATTGAGGCAGTCGTCTGAACAGATTAACTTAGCTCTATGAACCAAACACTTTACCAGGTTACGTTTATATTTCAAAGGTACAAAACTCAAAAAATGAGTGTACTGACCTGTTGTTGTAGGTTTCCTATACACACTCCTTCTTAGTGTGCCATCATCTTTCCTTGCCATGAAGACGTCTAGGAATGAGATACTGTCATTACTTTCTTTCTCCATGGTAAAGTTTATTGCTGAATGTGCATCATTAAACTTGTCGAGGATATTCATTGCATCATTCTCATCTTTCATAACCACAAATGTATCATCCATATATCGACAGTAGAAATCCATGTCATTAATTACTCCTTTCAGTGGTCCATTCTCTAATTTAGCGAGGAAAAAATCAGCTAGGATTGGACCTAATGGGGAACCCATAGCTACACCATCAATTTGCCTGTAATATTCCTTATTGAATAAGAAATGAACATTCATTGTACATCTTAAAATAAGTTCCTTCAAGGTGGATACAGAAATCCCGATGTCTATGTTTCGTGTAGTAATCTCCTCACATATAAAATCCACTGTCTCCATTAACGGTACATTGGTGAACAAGGAGGATACATCAAAAGATATCATAAACTTGTCCCTCACATTAAGATCTCTTATTTTGTCAACAAATTCAAAACTGCCATTTACGCTATGTTTTACCAATTCATTATGCAGAGGCTTTAGCAGCTTCACTAGCCATTTTGCTATTGCATGATATGGGGAATTACACATGTCCAATACTGGTCGAAGCGGCAAACCAATTTTGTGCACTTTTGGTAGTCCATATAATCTTGGTGTAACCGTGCCAGTAGGCTTTAAAGATTCATATAGACCGTCTATGATACTACTTTGTTGTTTAAGTCTTTTTAGTGACTCAATTAGTTGTTTCTCCACTTTTTCTGTCGGATCGACGGAAGATGTAATTTTTTGAAATTTTCGATGATCACTGAGTATTACATTCATCTTATCTATGTATTCAGTTTTATTCATTATTACCACTCCAGAGCCTTTATCAGGCTTCGAAATTATTATATTCTCATTATTTCGCAGCTTATCTAGGGCTTCCCTGTGTTTCTTGGTCAATCAGCTATTTAGTTTCCGTTTACTATTTATATATTTATAACAACAGTCCACTAGAGTTGATTTCAGACTTTCAACTGCCTCAGGTGACGAGGGTGTCAAGCCTTCAGTTTGAGCAAAAAAGTTTTGAAACTGAACTTGCATATCCATCTTGTTAATTCTAACATGATTATCACAAAACTTAGTGCCTAGGGATAATACTTGCAAATCCGTATCATCAAGGACAACATCGGAAAAATTATAAACATACCGACCAGGGTTTGGAGGAAATCGCATTTCCGGAGTTTTGCTTTCCAGGCTTTGTAATAATTTGGCACGTTTCTTTTCCTTTCTCTTACCAGAAACCTCATTCACGTAATCCAGGAACGGTTTCTTCAAGTGCTCAGGGAGCTCATCCACAGCATAGAACCTTTCTGTGACATTCTTTGACAATTCCGTGATGCATCATTTGAGTGAGTCAATCTGATTCAATGCATGACGCTTGAGTGTCTTACTATTTGGGCGAACTCTGCTACGTCGCAAAGAATTCCAATAGGATTTAGGATATTGGTTTCTCTCAATGCATTCAAGAATGAAGTCCAAAGAAATTCTCGCTTCACTGAGCCTTGCGCTGTACTTCAGATACCCATTGAGTGCCTTTAACGCAAACTTTTGCTCGGAAGATTTCAATATAGAAAATATCCCCATTTAGACATTTGAAAAAAACAGAAGGATTGAGCGAAGAAATATTTACTTTTCAATTAGATCCTCTTCTATGGCTCTACTCTAATATATATATATATATATAGCATTTTTTACAATACACAACAATTTACCAATATAATTTACAAAATACCCTGCAATGACTGTGATTGAGGTCAACTACATAGGTCAAGGGTAGTCAAATTGTCAGAACATAAGAATTTAGCTAAGGTAAGAATGGTTGACCCTGAAAAGATAAGTAATTTACAAAAAAAGCTCGGCAATTGCAATGCATGCATTAACACACAACCACACAATAGGGTGAGAGAGGGTTAAAAGTCTAAAAAGTAATCTAGGTAGTTGGAGAGAGAGATTGATTACTGAATCCTGCCTGGTTCATCGAGTGAATCTACACCCAACACATGCAATAGGAATGATTCATAACTCATACCCGAAATATGGAAAATACTAATACCAATCAAATCAAGTGAAAACACAACGGAACTATATAAATGAATTTAGGAAGTCGTGTGATTGATTACCTTGATATGATTGATTATGAGCAACAATAAATTATGCTCGAAACGTGGTCATCAGTAAACATTACTGTATAACAAACACTGTTGTGAGACCTTATCAAAACAAAATTTACCCATAATGGAATCTGGCCAGTAGTAGTCCCACAAATGGAGTAAAAGTACGTATCCTTGACCATACACCGAAATAAGAACATGGATTACACTTCTTCAAGTTGTTTAATGTTCAAATTTCCCTTGATTTGTAAATGTTTTATTTCTAAATGGGTTTTCTCTCTGTGTATTGTTTAAATTTCTGCTCTAGTGTATTCTATGTATTCTATGAACAATATTTAACATTGGCAAATGAAGCAGCCTTTCAACTTGGCATATGTTTACTCGCCATCTTTATTGTCACTTTGATATTCTTTGGATTGGATATTATTGCAACATTGATGGTGATATTCGGTGTCGTGTATATTGTTATCAGTGTATCCGCTATCATGGTCTTATGGTCGATTAGTTTGAATGCTTTATCGTTAGTCAATTTAGTTGTGGTAAGTGTTGTTGAACTATTTTCATTCGATTTCATTGTGTGTGTGTGTCGGTGGGGGTGGGTGGGTTTGTGCGGTGCAGGGGTTCATTCGATTTTTCATTCTGTATGAAGGAAGCATAAGCCTGTAAATGTAAAACTTGGGCACTCTGGTAATATGCAATGCCATAAATATTATTATTATTGTTATCTTTAATTCGTAGAGGAACATAGGTCTTCAGCCCTGCGTATCCATTGCGTTCGGTTCTCTCCGACAGTCTTCACCTGGCTCCAAGTCTGCCCACACACACGCTTTCATCTCCTCTTCACATGACCTCCTCAAAGTCACCCTCACCCTTGCACTGACCACCAACTCGCCGTCGCTTCCCTTTCAGCCATGTTCCACTCGAACAATGGCTTGTCTAGTGATGTCACTCACTTGATGTTTTGTTTCCTCAGAGTATGGCCAGCCATCCAATCCACCTACCTCCATTTCTTCCTGCCTATTTCTTTCACAATCGGTTGGTTCCTGCTGTGTTGGTTGGTTCGCTCATTGCCAGAGATCCCTCTCTGTTCCTGATCTTTTCTGGCCGACCGGCCATCTGATCTTGAATGGTATTGAGCGAAGACAACTGGCTGTTGATGAAGGTCTGTAGTTTGTTTGAGATGCTGTTTATGACGCGCTGGCCAAGTCTCTGATCCGTATAGTAAGTGGCACTGACTGACTTGACATTGGAGTTGAAAATCCGGATGTTATCTTCGTTTTGATGGTGAGTACTGTTGACCTCCACACAGACTTGACGTGAGTAGTGAAAGCTTGTCTTGCTTTTCCGATTCTCACTGCTTTGATATCCTCGTCAGTCCTGTTCGTCTGTAGTTGAAACGATGCTTCCCAGGTAGGTGGGTAGGTGAAGGAGGTTGTTTCTTTCAGGTTCCTTCCATTTATGCTGATTTTTGTCTGTTGTTGTTGCTGTTGTCCAGGAATCTTCATCACCTCTGTTTTCTCTATGTTCACCTGAAATCCTATATTCCCTGGATGCTTCTTGTGCCAACTTGTTCATAATCATTTCGTCAATTATATTAACACAACTTCGAAATCCGAGCTTTTATGGTTTTCTTTATTCATTCGTATTTGTTGTGTGTAGGGGTGATAGAATTTTCCAGATGTCTGGATGGATGAACAGGTGTTGGTGTATGCTGAAATTTTCTGTGTTAATTATTTATTAGATTGGTCCGAGGATTTCATCATGAGTTGACATCAGTTAGATAACCATTGGAAAACCAGCACTACAGTACTGCACAGCTGTTTTGCCAGTCAAGTTTCAGACTTTTCATCAGTGCACACCCATCTCAGGGGGTTCGAACCCAGGACCTTCTGGTTACAAGGCGGCGCGCTAGCTCGTAGACCATTAAGTCACTGCGACGCGATCCAGTCTCCAGCCCATAAATTCTATCTAACTTCTACCAATTCATGACATAGCGCGACCACTTCGCAATGTCTTCTTTTATGAGTCACTGCCTCACACTGGTTGGTGTTTACTGCTGAAGAGTCCCAAACAAGGCTGACGAGACAGCTGTCCATTACTCTCCAGTGCTGGTTTTCCATTGGTTCTCTAACTACTGATGTCAGCTCATGATGAAATCCAATCCAATCAATCAAACAAAATCCCTTAAACCCCTCCTCCCTACTTGAAAATTATTTATCAGCACATAAGGTCAAATGTTCTACACTTCATATTATATCTTCCAATAACTTAACTGACCCTGATCTATGTATATGGCTGACTTGCATAGTCATTGCAATCCAGCGTACCAGCTAGCTAAATTACAACTGTTATCAGTATTGTAAACTATTGTGAAGCAGTCGTTTTTTTAAACAAGGCTTAAAGAATTCTTAAGTAATCTCTGTGTTCAATTTTCAATACCTTTTTGATTTTTCTTAAAATTATTTTCATAAAATAGTTACACCATTGTTGATTATCAATTCTGTTTTGTTACCATGGTTACCATTGATTTTTTTGAAGGCTTATTTATGTTATCAGGATTATTATTGATGAACAACAGACTGGTTAATATGTCCAATATTTAATGATAGTGTATCTGTTTGTGTGTGTGTGTATGTGTTTATTTTATCACCTTTGTTATGAGAAGAATAGTAAATAAACAGAATGATAGTGACATATGTAATTCACACACATATACACACACACATACAGAGGTGGATGTATACTACACGTCTGGATTCACCTTTGGGTTTAACATGTTAGTGGTCAATACACAAATGACACATTACTGATTTCCGCCATATTGAATGTATATATATATATATATATATATATATGTATATACAGCAGCAACATCCAGCGCCAATCACCATCAACGGGAGGGATTTGAAAGAGGTTACTTCATTCACTTATCTAGGGAGCATTGTCTCAACTACAGCAGGAACGGACGAGGATGTCAAATCGAGAATCTAGAATCGGGAAGGCGAGAAACACATTCATCAACCTGAAACCAATCTGGAAATCTTCCGCTGTCACTCAACTCAGCCTGCATCAACAACAAAATGATTCGGATTTTCAATACAAACGTCAAGTCAGTCAGTTCTTCTATACGTATGGATCAGAAACTTGGCGGTTGCGTCACAAAGAATATTTCCAACAGCTTGTCGCACACCTTTATCAGCAACAACCGTCTTCGCTGGCTCTATACTGAAGATCAGATGGCCGGAAGGAACAATAAACAACAAAAGACTATGGGAAGAAAGAAAACAAGAACCAATCGCTCAACAAATATGCATGAGAAAGAAGTGGAGATGGATTGGACACTCGCTGAGGGGGCTGCTGAGTGGGTGACATCGTGCGTCAGTCAGGCCAGTGGTCGAGTGGAACCCGAAAGGGAAGCGGCGAGTGGGACGTTAGTGCAAGGGTGACATGGAGGAGATCGTGTGAAGAGGAGTTGAAACAGTATGGACTAACATGGATGCAGGTGAAAGTACAGCAGAAGAGAAAAGCTAGTGGAGACGTGCATTTTGTTTGTTGTTTTTCATTTCTCTCTACTCATTTTCCTGTCTACCTTTGTGTGCTATTTGGAACGTGGCAACTCGAACTACTGCACTTCGGTGCCAAGTTCTATGTTGAATCCAGCAGCAGCAGCAGGAGACGTGCATTTGAAGCCCTATGTTCCACTAGGAATCCAAGGGAACAATAATAAATAAATAATGTATATATATATACATATGCGTCGGTGGCACAGTGGTTAGGACTCTCGCCGACCATGCACATGGTCCGGGATTCGATCCCCTACCGATGCACACCTGATTTCAATGGTCGGCCTGTAAAATTTGGGCTACCGATATCGTATGCTGAGAATTCCATACTTGTACCGAAAATACGGTGTGGAATCAAGCTGTAATCAAATATATATATATATATATATGCGTTAAAGTTCATCTGTGAATCAAAGATTGTTCATCTCACCAAATGTTACGTCATTATTTAAGTTCGAGTGATATTATGTTAATCTAATTTCAATCGTAAATTTTGTCACATAAACCGATATCAGTAAGACAGGACCATTGAAAAAAGAACAGCAGGAATTACTGCACACTGCGACTTGAACTGGCGCAAATATGTGCAAAGTTCTGTGTCGAAAACAGACAGACAGACTACCGAAACCGACTTGTTTTGATCTGAACACGGAGAAATTGATCTTCGCGGCCTACCGTCTACCCGCTATCCGAAAATTCCTTGAGAAACACACCGTCACAAAATGCTCCAAAGACATATAAAAAAAAGAGTGTGATTCGTCGATAAATCTCAATGGTCCTATACAACACCAATAATAATAATAATAACAAAGCAAGTATTGTAGAAAAAAAAGTAGTTAACCAACATCCAATCGTAAGAAGTCCCTTAGAATCATGTAGACAACATTTTCCCAACAAGATGGGATCAGAACACTGTCCACTAGAATCACACACTACACAATTCCTACAGACAGTTCAAGAATAAAGTGAGCTTCATTCATTCAAATAAAATCATACACCTTCAAAACAACACTTTATCAGTGTATCACACAATCACAAAGAGATGTAATAAAAATTACAGATTCAATAGGAACATGCAAATGTATGTCAGAACAACAATGTAATATACAGCCTAGGAGAAAGGAGGATAATAATTACGAAGGTATTCAGGTGTTGGTTTGTAGGGTAACCAGAAGGTCCTGCGTTCGAATCGCAGTAGGTCCGTACTGATGAGGAGTCTCAAACTAGGACGAAACAACTGTCCAGTAGTCCCAGGTTTTCCAGTGGTTCTTTAACTAATGTCAGCTCATGATGAAAATCCTGTAATTACGAAGTTAGTTGAAACATTCCAAGAAGTACAAATTATTGTAACTGGATCGGTTAGGAGGGATTTTCTAGACAATTATTCCATTTTGGTAGCCTTCAGCATCGCGCATCCATCCGACCATCCAAAACACAGGTCGAACTTAGGAGCTTGAAGCTGTGAAAGGTGATGCCGTTGACTATTTCGCCACTACTTAGTTAGAATATAATTCGAAAAAAGGAAGAACTACAGTTTTAGCAGAATAAAATGGTACCATCTTTTATTTCATTGCCTTCTCGTCAGCTGCTTACAGAGCAAAGACATTATTAAATGTATCTACAATAACAATTTTAACATACTTGCACAGAGTTCATTTTAAACAAAAATCAATCGACCAGTCTACACATACACTAATTATATATAGATATATATATGCAATATTAAAAACTATTCTGAACAATAATAATCGTACACAATGGAAACTTTTCAGCACTTTGCATTCGGATGAAACAGAGATGAAAAATATCTAGTTACCAGTGCGTCGGTGGCACAGTGGTTAGGTTTCTCGCCGACCATGCACATGGTCCGAGGTTCGAGCCCCTGCCGGCGCACACCCGATATCTATGGTCGGCCTGGAACATTTGGGCTACCGATATCCATGCTGAAAATGTCATACTTGTACTGAAAATACGGTGTGGCATCAAGCTGTAACCAAAATAAAATAAAAAAAATAAATAAAAAAGAAAGACTGATAACCGCTTCTTTCTGAACGCATAAGTCAGATTTCAGGCGCTTGATTGAAATGGCTTCAGCAAACTTAAGGAGAATTAAGCTCTTTTGCGCCTCTTGATAATTTTGAAAGTCTTTTCGACGTCCACCTCATGACCCGTGTTGAGGAGATGCCTGGCGATGACACTTCAAAGCATCTTTCCCCTTAGATGTAAGCTTTTTGGTACATGTTCAGAAAATCGTAGATATGCCCTTCTTTCTGTTCTTCCAATGTAACTGCTCCCGCAGATACATGTGATTTCTAATTCTTTTTGATTCACACTAATGATATCAATTCGTGACAATATCTACATTGGAATTAACCTGAACATCCTTACAAAGTGTGAATATATAAATTACCAGTTGAGTAGTGATCATAGAACGCATGGAATCGGGCAATACGAATACTCACACATATATGTGTAATGAATGACAAGAAGACAAGGACCAGGCAACAGATCGTTTATTGAGAAAATCAAGAGATATATTTATAGATTTTTATGCACATTATTATTAGCATTATTGTTAGCAGAGGAACAGCGTCTTCTGATTGGTTGTTTTCTCGCTGAAAGTTAATCTGTCATCTCTTTGTGGCTGTTTCTTTCAAGGTCAGACCATATATCTGCGATTCGTATCCGCCCATGCAAAGTCTGCTGTGGTTGGTTGTTGAGTTAGTCTTTGTTCTTGTTTTTTTTCTCATAACCAAGATTTGGGGCGTAAATATTAGTAAGGTGCCTTTTCAGTAGAAGCCAACGAATATGCACTGAAAACACACTTGATGGTGAGGAAGAAAGAAAGTTGACACAAACTATGGTTGATAACAATTATCCAGACAAGTTCATCAGGAGATATAAAGTAGTCAGTGGAACACCAAGACCCACTCTCCAACTCGCCCCTAAGAAAGACGTGTACATCAAGCTACCCTATATGAAGCATCAAAGCAGCTTGATAACTAGACAAAGACTGAACGCTGCTGTCAAAAAGACTTTTTATGCAGCCAATATCATAATAATAGTGTATGTAAAGTTAATATATTTATCTAAGCCCTTCGAACATGCGAAAAATGATGTCACATCCCACTGTATTTACCAATTTGAATGTAGGTGTTGACACACATACATAAGAGGGAGGACTCATCGATCTCTGCAAGTAAGAGCTAGCTTCAGAGCATATTCCTAAATGGCTCCAGAAACAAATGGAATCTTCAGAACCTATTAACGCTGAGAACAGGAGACTTAGCTCTTCTATTGCGAAACATATTATAGAGACAGGACATAAAATTGACGTTAACGCATCTTTTAAACCTATCTATAAAACGTGTTTGGGGGGGGCGTATCCTAAAGTTTGTGGAAGCCGTAGCTGGCAATTAGAAAGTTTAAACCACCTTTATGCGTTCAAAGCAACAATTCGTCATCACACTAAACCACGTTCCTTGGTAAACTTTGTTTTGATGCCGTAGCAGATGTACTATTACCTCTGTTATTTGGTTTAGTGGTCTCTATTGCTACTTTGACCTTGAATATGTCCTTTTAACTTGACCTAAGTAGTCTATTTTCTCACCTCTTACCTCTTCATTAATTTCATGTATATTCCTATGACGAGTCCGTGTGTGATGGATCAGATTGTTCGAAATGTGCTGCGCGAATACATTACACACACGATTCAGACAAATTACGTCTTCTTATTGCTTTGTCTAAATTGATAAAGGGAACTAATTTTTTTTAAGTTGTAAATATTGACGCGTAAATTTCTGTCTACCAATTTTGGCTAGCAGCAGACAGCTCTCACCCACCATATAAATGTACATTATAATCTCTGTGTTTATCTTCGTTAATAACCTGTTGAATAATAATAAATATTTTTTTGTATATATAGGCTTTAGGAATATCTGTTGAATTCTGTGCGCATATAGTTCGTTCTTTTGTAATCAGTGTATCACCGACACGTGTAGAGCGGGCTAAAGAAGCACTCAATGACATGGGCAGTTCTGTAAGTTTTCCACCCCCCTTTATTTCGCCTTTACTTTAAATCACTTTTTCTTTTTTTTTAATAAAAGCAAGTCTTCCTCTCTATCAGAAGTAGAATGTGAAAGGCAAAGTTCTACAATAGCGTCCCAAGGGATGCGAACGCACGAGTGACCTTGAGCCGACCAATCAAAAAAATGGAGGATTTTCGCATAATAATTTACTTATATTTACATAATAAAGCATGAAACAGGGTATTTTTGTCTATTATGAGATAAAAAATCTCCCAATTATGATGAGGAGTTTCAGTTTTTAAATTAAACCAACTCCTATACATGTATTCATCTAGGTTACTAAAAATAACTTGATTTTGAGATCCGTTGATAGCTCTTATTCTATTTTTTAGTTTTCCCCAGAAACCTTCTATTGAATTATTATTAGTACCGGTTCTGGAGTCGACGAAGTCATCCGAATGGTTGACTCGATGATGTATATAACCCAGTTGCGATAATCGGTTATATGCTGCGCATTCATCCGTGTGAATGGTGGTGCCTGGTAAGACGAGCTTCTGAATAATAGGGAGGAGTGTATCAGCACTACTATCTGGAATCAGTTCGATAAATCCTTTGCGAATCTGGATGTCGTAAATTCCCAGAACCCAAACGGTTGTGTTGCTTAAAACCTTGTACATAAACAAAAAAATTGTCCCGAATAGTTAGAGTTTTACAAGAATGATGGTGATGATGGGCAACAATATGCCTTTACCCTTCATGCATCAAAAACATTTCCTAAAATGCACACTTAAGTGTTTCGTTCTATACTGAAGATCAGATGGCCGCCGGAAAGAACAAGAACCAACAAGAAACTATGGGAAGAAACAAAACAAGAACCAATCGTTCAACAAATATGCAGGAGAAAGAAGTGGAGATGGATTGGACACTCGCTGAAGAGACCACTGGGTGGGTGACATCGCGCGTCAGTCAGGCCATTGCTCGAGTGGAACCCGAAAGGGAAGCGGCGAGTGGGACGTCAGTGCAAGGGTGACGTGGAGGAGATCGTGTGAAGAGGAGTTGAAACAGTATGGATTAACATGGACGCAGGTGAAAAGTACAGCAGAAGAGAGAGAAGCAAGTGGAGACGTGTAGTTGAAGCCCTATGTTCCACTAGGAACCCAAGGGAACAATAATGATAAGAAAGTGTTTTGTGAAACAGTTTTTATTCTTGTGTTATTCACTTTGCATTGATTATTTTTTTTAAATGTATTAAACACTGTAAATATATGTTGTTTCTAAATTTCTACATGCATTCTAGATTCTACGTGGTATTACCCTCACTAAACTTGGCGGTATAGTTGTTTTGGCTGCATCGAAATCTCGCCTGTTTCAAATTTTCTATTTTCGTATGTATTTATGCATGATATTATTTGGCGCTTTGACTGGATTAATCATTCTACCTGTATATCTTAGTTATTTTGGTAAGTGTCGGTGGTGTTGTTGGTGGTGGAGGGGGGTGGGGTTGTGTTTCTTTTTTATATTACAATTTGTAAAATTATTGATTGATTAATTTATGGATATGAGTAGTCGGATGCCACTCACATCAACTTGGGCGGGGGAGGGAGTGACTGTTAGACAATTCGATGTGAGATCTAAACACCATCAAACTGTATTCAAGTATTGGTTTGTAGGGATTTGGTTGATTGGTTACAGGATTTCATCATGAGCTGACATTGGTTAGAGAACCATTGGAAAACCAGCTGGGAGTACTGGACAGATGTTTCGTCCTAGTTTAGGACTCTTCAGCAGTACGCAACCACCACGGAGGGTTCGAACCCCGGTGAGATGCTCAATGAGATGCGCACTGGCTACTGGCCCTATTCAGGTAAGTAGTTACCTGGGGTTCTAGTGGGAAGTCGTGACCAGTAGGGTGCAGCAGGTCGGATGTGAGGACAAATACTCGCCGAAGACATTGGCTAGCGGTTGCGCTATATCGTGAATTGGCAGAAGTTAGAATTCATGGGCCATTGGATTGGGTCCCAGTGGCTTTGTGACCAGGTCCTGGGTTCGAACAACGGTGTGCGCATACTGCCGAAGAGTCCCAAACTAAGACGAAACAGCTGTCCAGTACTCCCAGCTGGTTTTCCAATGGTTCTCTAACCAATGTCAGCTCATGATAAAATCCTGTAACTAACCATCAAATGGCCTTTTCGCTTATTTGAAGCTGACCTCATCAACAGTGTGCTTGGATTGATTGACTTAGCTTAGTAGAGAGGTGGGCGAATCAGTTCAAACCACTCGAATTCTGGCCAGCCAGTCAGGGGAACTTGTAATGCATTGGATGGAATTCACTGTTCGCAATTTACACAGACACACACACACACACCTTGAACTTTGTAAATTTCAAATCGCGAATTAGTCACAATGAAATTGACAGAAATCATATGGAATTCAAAATCTCTGTAGTATGCTGTCGTATAAAGAGAAAAAACATGGTTACAGACGCCTTACGCTGGAATTAGGGTAGGTGGCAATGAAACCAGCCAAACTCTCTCTTAGAGATAAACTTTGTCGGCTTAAAGACTCGACACATCCAAATTTAGAAAAATAATGTAATTTACCAAATACCATTATATAATTGCTAATCTTCTTTGTAACGTTCTAATTTTAGTATATGTACCGCCGAAGCGAGTGATCCCACCCCCATCACGCTCTTTTGCGTGGTGGCATAGCGGTTAGGACGGTCACCGACCATGCACATAGTTCGGGGTTCGATTCCCGGCCACAGACGCACTCTTTTACCTCGTTAAACCAGAAATAATGCTGGTAAAGAGGAAAGGTTGGGCATGAGGCTAGCAAACCCATTGTGTAAAATTAAACAGTGCTACAGAAACTTCAAGCCACTAGCTTGAAGCCCTATGTTCCACTGGGAACGTGAAGGAAAAATAATAATAATAATTTAATCATATAATTAATGACTGTGAGGTCAATTACATAGGTGAAACCAGTAATTACATCGGGGTCAATTAGATGATTAGAACATAAAAATTTAGCTAGACCTAGTATATATGATTGACCCTGCTAAGTTAATTAACCTTGTAAAAAAGCTCAGGCATAGCACTGCATTCACGCTTGCATGTAATCACGAAATAGGGGGGTTCGGACAGGGTGAGAGTATTAAAAAATAGTAAAGTAGTAAGCTGGAGAAAGAGACAGAGGGATATAGAAGTCAATCACTGAAACTTTGTCTATCGACTCAACACAGCACACGTGCAATCGGAATGACACAACGCCCCCTATACAGAAGATATGGGAAGGTGGCAACAAACAACGAAGGGAAGTTGGGTAGACAGAAAGAGAGAAAATATAAGATATATAAGACAAATTGTGAAACCGTGTGACTAAAATTAATATGATTATGAGCAGTAATCGTGCTGAAGTTTCTGCAGCAGCATCTGTAGCATCGTTTCCTTTAAGTCTTAGAGGATCATAGGGCTTCAGCCGTGCGTCCCTATCGCGTTCGGTTCTCTGCTAGAGTTTTCACCTGGCTCCAAGTCTGCCCACACACACGCTTTCATCTCCTCTTCACATGACCTCCTCCATGTCACCCTCACACTGACGACCAACTCGCTGCCGCTTCCCTTTCGTCCGGGTTCCACTCGAGCAATGGCTTGTCTAGTGATGTCACTCACTTGATGGTTTGTTTCCTCAGAGTATGGCCAGCCAATCTACCTACCTGCATTTCTTCCTGCCTATTTGTTTCACAATCGGTTGGTTCCTGCTGTGTTGGTTGGTTCGCTCATTGCCAGAGATCCCTTTCTGTTGCTGATTTTCTCTGGCCGGCCATCTGATCTTGAGTAGTACTGAGTGAAGAAAACTGGCTGTTAATGAAGGTCTGTAGTTTGTTTGAGATGCTGTTTATGACGCTCAGTGCAAGTCTCCGATCCGTATAGTGAGTAGCACTGACTGACTTCACATTGGAGTTGAAAATCCGAATCTTATCTTCGTTTTGGTGCTGAGTGCTGGCTGTTGACCTCCACACAGACTTGAGAGTAGTGAAAGCTTGTCTTGCTTTCCTGATCCTCGCTGCTTTGATATCCTCGTCAGTTCCGCCGGCCTGTAGTTGATACGATGCTTCCCAGGTAGGTAAAAGGGGGTTGTTTCTTTCAGGTTCCTTCCATTTCTGCTGATTGTTATCTGTTGTTGTTGTTGTTGCTGTTGGTGGTGTTGTTCAGGAATCTTCATCACCTACCTCTGTTTTCTCTCTATGTCCCCTGAAGTCCTATCTTCTCTGGATGCTTCTTCTGCCAACTTGTTGCTTTTCATCACTTGCATATCTTCCAGTTTGTGGGAAATCAGACATATATCACCGGCGAAGTCCAGATCCTCCAGATTTTTTGTGTGACTCCATTTTATGCCTGTTTCCTCATTGTCCGCTGTTTGTCGCATTGTCCAATCTACTGCAATCAGGTTCAGTATATTGTCAATCGACGGGATAATGCAAAATGAATATAAACAATTGAAAACTGAGGTGGCTGTTGTGGCCCATGTGGCTCCGGTGGGGGGTAACCCTTCAGCCTTTAAAATTATGGGTTCTAGCTGTGAGTTTAAGTGTCAATGGGAACATTGTCCATCACTCACTATGGATGGATTTCAATTCCACCCAGTTGACGACTCCCAAATAGGACGAAATCTCCATTTACTTGATTGCACTGATCTAGTCACCATCCATCAAATAACACCAAAAATTATCATTAGGCATCTTTGAAGCTTCTGTAACGGGAGTGAAGATATGTCCATAGAGGAGGGATTGAACATTTCAGCCTAATATAATTAATCGATGCGTAATACAGAATAATTGTAACAACTGTCTGTCTGTTTTCGACAGAGAACTTCGCACATATGTGCGGAAGTTCAAGTCGACACATAGAAACAGTAAACAGAGGTGTGAGACAATGGAATAGTAATAACGAAGAACAATATAGTTTCATTCGAAATCATAAGCCAGTCACAAGGAGTGGATGCATCTGCACCAGCCAGCCATTGAGAACGATCACTTTGAGCCATGTCACCAATTGTTTCCAGCCTTCATTGGTTTTTACCGTCCAGAGCACCCCAACCAGTCAGGAAGCCAGTCTACACCTTCCTACGTGGCTGGCTTAGACTAACTGTTGTGGATTTCATTGACTGGTGCCATGTTTTGGTTTGACCGCCGCTAGCTCTTTTCCAGCCTGGCCCTATATCAGCTAACATTTCCCATTGTTGAGGAAGGCGATGACTAGGCGTGCATGCGTAACACATGTCCTAACCATCTCAGTCGATGTACCTTCACAGCCTTGTCGATTGATTTCCAATTCCTCCTTACCAACTATCACTCGACCGATGGCCTAACCTCAATATTGCTCACCTTATTATACCACTTCACCCACACGGGAGATAGAAAGCAGACATCTATGATCAAAGACACCTAGCTGGTCTTTTCATGTCTTCCACTTCCATTGTAACAAGAATGATAATTAGAATGAACAATAGTTTTCCAATATATTCTTCTTCAAGCTCACAGAGAGACCGCAGTGAATGAATTCATCTGTGTTATTGAGAAGGTTTTCGAACTATATCATCCAGAGTCTGCAACTATTTTGTGTGTTTGGAGTTTTTAGAACCCCAGCTTAGCTGTATCTCAATGTATGTAACTATATCGCCTCGTCGATTGATTTTCCCTAGGTCACGTGCTGCGCATGCCTAACCATCGTCTCCCCCGACGGACGGGCATTACTAGCTGATATAGGCGCAGGTTGGAAGTAAGAAAGAGTAAGTGGTGGCCAAACAAAAACATGGTCTCATCAATCCATGAAACCCCTGACAGTTAAACTGAGTCAGTCAGGTAGGGAGGGAGGGAGATGCAGACTTCCGGGTTTGGGGCTGCCCTCGGGACTCTAAGAATCAATCAGTGGCTGGAGACAGACAATAGGTGACATGGCTCAAAATCGTTCGTTGTCAATGGCTTACGCAGATGTATTCAGTAGTCTCTGTAATCTTTCATATTCCTTTCTACCACCATTACTCATTCATTCTGTTTCACTGTTATACTTGTCAAAACTCTATTGATTCTCTTCACTCATCTTCTTGTCTACCTTTGTGTGGTATTTGGAAGGTGGCAACTGGAACTGGTACACTTCAGTGTCAAGTTCTATGTTAAATCCAGACAGACAGCTTAGCCGTATCTATATCTCCCTTCCTATAAGTGACTCACATTAACAGTCAAAAAATTCAGCAACTGATGCCTTGTCTTTGTTTTTTCTTTAATAATTCCTTGTGCCTTTCCAACCTAATCCTCTGCAAGAAATGCTATGAATTGTCATGCATATCTTAGTCATCTCAATCGATGCAACTTCCCTGTGTGTATAACAAACACTACGCCTAATCTCACTATTACCCATCCTGTTACACCATGTAATATGCCTACACACAATGCAAGCAC